TACTCACAGAATATAAACTCATGAGTGAAGCACTCAATGCTTGCAATCGGTTAACGCATTTGAAGACTAATAGACTTCATATCATAAATGAGGCGTTTTTGGTGAATATATCCCATAATATACCACAACTTCAATGTCTGGACATTTCGGTGAATACCATAAGCGATGTGTCATTGGATTCATTGTCTGCGCTCAAGAACTTGCGGTCAATTAGACTCCAGAGCCGACACACGGTTTTCAATACCCGTTCCCTTAATAGGCTTATCACAAATTGTCTGAAATTGAAAACTATTGAAATAAATTCACTAAAGTATTGGTGATTTAATAAAATTAAACATTGTGTATGATACGGTTTAACCAGTGATTTAATGGTTACTGGTACTGTACCTTGATGACAATTAATTTATAATTTTGTACCCTAATACTTTTAAAACGTAATAAAATATTTATTTAGAAAATTATCAAACAGATGTTTATTATTTTGTATGTCAAATAAGTTAAATAAAGCTTATGTTTGATACACCCTGGTACGTTTCCAAAGTACACATTATTTCAGCTAATGATTGGTAAACTTAATGAATTACTAATTATTTATCATTTGTAGTGAAAATATATTTTAATAAAAAGTTTTAACAACTTTTGAGTTCATAGTATAGCCGCGAGAGTACACTAAACAATGCATTCCCTGTGAAACAGTAAACACATAAACAATACCCACAAAAGACAACAACATATTTGACTCGCTTTGCAAACACAGCATTCAATCACTCATCTGATCCACACCTGGATCGGCACAACCATCGCATCCATTGCCACCACAACCACATCAGTGACACTCGCAGTGACAGCGATGGCCGCAAGTAATGGCACTTCCGGTGACCAGAGCTGGAGAACCAATTTGTTGCGACAAAACGTGAGAAACAAAATGTATGTCAACTCGTGTCTGGAGCTCATTGTCTGTCCATTTGATTCAATTCATTGATTATCTCTCATATGATTGGTGTGGACAGCGAGGAGGCCATCCGTGTGTCAGGGAATCCGACCTCAAAGACTGCGTTTGAGATGGAGAACCATATCTTCCTTAAGGCGAGGACTAAGGTATTGACCAAACATTTGCAGACAATGTCCAGAAGTGAGACCACGAGTTGCCCACCAATCGGTTCACTCGACCACTGGATGTGTCGCGCGTGACATACACTCATAAGACATATAATTCGCGATTTGAGTCCACTTTGAACCGCATTTGAATGGATGTCCTGTTTGTGTGACCCCTTTGACGGCTATTTGTTGTCTTAATTTCCTGTAATTTATTGATTGTATTGACCATTGAATTAATGTATTGTCTGAATCCCACCCACAGGAGGATTACCTTTCATTTGTGGCCCGACTTATACTTCACGTCAAAGAAATGGGTGAGTCTTCCGATGTCTTATCTCTCATCTCATATGACAGTCATATTCATAGCATTTGTTTGCATTGTTTTGACGTTTAAATGACACCCTTTTCACACGACTTGTATTGACACACAATAGGGTCGCGCAATGCGACCGTTGGGACCGATTGCCAGAGTCTGCCAAACAGTCTGAAGCGATCCCTTTCCCCCACCCTATCATTGATGCTTCCGATGCCGTGTCCGCCACTACAGCACCCGTTCCCACAACCCCTCCCTCCCATGAACGCCACCCCTCCAGCGCCCACTCCAACGGCTCGCGTGTGGACCGGTATCATGGACTACGAGGAGAAGCCCTTACAGCCGGGGCCGAGCACTGACGACCCACGTGACACGCATAGCCTCGACTGCAACATCACGTGTCGTACGGTGAATGGTGTGCCCGAAGTGTATGGCCACGAATGGCCCCAACAGTTGCTTCTCTCGCTTGTTCCCAAACAACTGATTATGAGTTTGTTTCCGATGCTTAAGAGCAGCGCATACCATATAACTCT